TGTGTGTGTGTGTGTGTGTGTGTGTGTGTGTGTTTCTCTACTATCTTTGTGAGGACCATTTAAAGCATATACCCTACAGAGTCAGGACATTTTTGGAAAGTAAGGACATTTTGTCCGGTGCTCACCTCTTGACTTGGATCTAGGTTTGGTAGGTTTGGTTTAGCTTTAGGTGAGGAGTTTGAATTTATTTGGGAATATTAAGCGTACTGTAACTGATATTATATAGGGTCTTCCTCATGTGAACAAAAGAGCAGGTCTGCATAATGTAAATCCTTAAATGTTGAGGTGAGGTTTACCCAGCTGTATAGTTTATAGTTGGTGTTAGGCTTAGTCCTCAGGAACATAATGTAAGACCATGTAATGTTGTCTGACCTAGAATACTTTGAATTTTTCCCATGGTCTCCTGAAATATGTCTGACTTTTACTGTGAAAATCTCTCTCTGTGATGTCTGGACACCCTCTATGACATTCATGTGATGCATATTGCATTATGCATTATGTGGAGCTGTCTTGGTATGGAATGACTGATCTAATTTTATATGTTACAAATAAAGCTGTCTTCTGTCTTTGTTATATAAAGCAGTTTATTTCCTAACTTTTATTGGAGTGCAGTCTTTCATTTAGTTATTTCATGTTCAACTTTTGCATGAAGAAATAATACTCTGAAAATGAAAGGCGATGCTCTTAGATTAGGAACTAAGATAAAAGTTGTAATTCGCTAATACTTCTGACAGGTAGTTAATTTGATGTTGAGCATATTAAGTGCCCTCAGTGGCGGACTCCTTTGTGAGTTTGGCAGTGGGTTAAATGTTATAAACATCTGTTGCAGCGTCCTTTTGACAGACAACTCAAGGTCGATGGAAATAGACTTGCTACGTTCCTAAACTACGTAAGTACCTGTGTGTGCGAGCGTACCGTGTTTTCATCATGTACTTTTATTTTTAATTTTATCTTTATAGAAAGATGAGCCTGATGCTTTCAAAAGATTAGGCACGGGAAATCGCGTGGCGACTTTTTTGAACTACGTAAGTATTTGCATCCAGTCGCCGTTGATTGAAAGGCCCGGGCTGCCGGTTAAAAATCCACGCTCCCTCCCATCCTCTTACGTTTTAGCATCATGGGCATAAGCTCTGGTTCAATCTTGGACTCGGATTGATTGACTTTTACAGAGATGCACTGATTGGCGTTACTGTCCTGTTGTTTGAAACTCATCTGAAAGAGTGAGACAGAAGAATGACCGAACAAATATTTATGAATAAAGTTTTTCTGTCAATCAGTTCAAGTACATATTGTGGAGAGTTTACATTTACATTTAGAGTTCCAAACGGCACTTTATTTTACCCTTGTTAACACTGCGTTATACAAAATACATCTACACCCTAAAATGTATAAAACATATTTAAATGAGTGTTGTATTTGAATGGTTGTATTTTCTATAACCTTTAAAGTTCAGTGTTAACTCCGGTGCATGTTGTGAATGTGCCTGAGTAGATTAGAGATCTACAGTGTATATAAGAAAAAGATTTGAAGAGGGTATAACAGGACATATGGACTCAAATTTAAATACAGTCTTTAAGATTTTCGGCCTGTAAAGTACACTTCACAAAGTACTTCTGTTAACATCTGTATACAGGTACAAAACAACTGTGTACATTTTCCTGAGGCTGAAGTTAAATTTACATCTTTTGACCCCGTCTTTACGCTCTTCTAAATCTGATTGGACAATAACAGGCCAATCGCAGAGCTGAGTCTCACCGTGTGTTCACGTCCTCCTTGTTTATCCCATTTCCTGAAATCATCTTCCGCCTTCAGTGTGTTCATGTGCTTGAAGTAAAAAAAAACAGTGAGGTTGTAAAAAAAACAAAAACATGTTGTATTTGTGTTTATAGACACCTTGACACCTCTGTCCAATTCTCATTTACAACCACAAACCTTGGTATTATTTGTGAACACTACTTTGAGAAATCAATGTTTTGTGGGACACTACTGATTATCACCTCAGTAACATGACATCTAATCTTAAATTGTACGTCAAACAGCTGATGGTTCAGTTTAAAAGAAGACAACATTCCCTTTCTTTATGTCTCGCTTGACTGCAATCCCTGTTCTGCACATAAGAAGTGTCACATGGGGTTTTGTACCATCTAATTCTTGGAAGATTATAACTCGATTAAATCAGGAAACGCTATCTTGGAAAGAAAACACAGATAAAGTTTCCAACTAGTTAGTTTTCTATTTCTTTTCTCAGATGAGTGATGTGGAGGCAGGGGGTGCTACGGTGTTCCCTGACTTTGGAGCAGCAATCCGGCCGAGAAAGGTGATGGGAGCAGTGTGTGTGTTTCTGTGTCCCTGTGAGAACTGAGCATGTTTAAAAGTGCTTTGAAATATGTCCACAGTGGGAAAACAAATCCAAACAGTATCAGTTTAAAGGTCCCGACTGAATGATCGAAAATCTCACATGTGCTTTTTTGCTAATGTTACAGTAGCAGGAAAATGTTGGTCAGTAGCTCTTTTTTGATTCAATGTGTGTTGGATCATCATATTCCTTCTCTGGTGTCAATACCAGATGTTTCCATAGTTTTTTGCATCTGTTCCATTTCTCCACAGGGGACCGCAGTGTTCTGGTATAATCTGTTCAAGAGCGGAGAGGGAGACTACAGGACTAGACATGCAGCCTGTCCTGTCTTAGTAGGAAGTAAATGGGGTGAGTCAGAGTTGAGATTCATCATATTTATGTATTGACATCTTCCATGGGGGAAACAAGGACTTTCAACCCTAAGCAAAGAAAATGTTTCGAATTCTTCTAAACACCAATATGGACATTTCTCTTGAATCGCTACTTCACATTACATTTATTTGTACATTGTTTGAAAACAGCCTCTGAAAACCTGAGGGATTCATTTCCTTTGCCCTGCAAATTGGAGATGACTAAACAAAAACACATTTGTCTACATATTTTTTCAATGTTTATTTATATTACATGTACAATATTTGGCTACTTCTTCGTTATGTTACTGGTCCAAAAAGATCTCAGGATGTCACAGAGTATTACTATAATAATAACAACATTATATTTTATTTTGTTATAAGCAGGGATCCTGTCAGTCTTGATACTGATTTGAAATTCTTGTGTGCTTTGTCAGCTTTGCTTGGCGGTGAGCTGACTGGTTATAATTACAGATGCAGTGGTGCAGCTCTGTGGTATTCAGGAACTCAGTGTGCAGTTTCTGTATCTCTCACCTTTGTTTGTCAAAGCAGCAACAAGAGTGTAGAGTACGACTTGGCCGTCGGACATTTGGCGACAGTGCTGTCATTATCAGCAAGACATTATCTTTGCTCTCTGTCTGTGGTTTTCCTGGATCACATGTGGGGGTGGAGCAGTGATTTTAAAAGTTTGGGGCTTCGATGGCACCGGTTCCAGTCTCCGCTACATGACAAACATACCATAGTATTAAGCAATGAATTAAGAATTAATAAAGAGAAGCTGCTTTCAGACATGCACTGAACCACAGAGATCCTCCAGACATTGTTATATAATCTAGGTTTTTTTTCATATTCTCTGTTTTAATCTCTCACTCTCTTTAAGTATTTCTGATTCCATAAAGATTTTAGTAGGTGTGAAATAGTAACCCCATGGTGCTAGTGTTTTCAGTATCTAAACAAATAATGTTGATTTTGTTGGGAACTGGTTTTGACATATTTACCACCACCATCTCAGTGGTGTGGAAAGTTTTTTAATTTGCAATACATTCCTGTTAATGAGAAATATGAGATCTCCTAAATTAAATTAACCTAAAAATACATTAAAACGTGCAGAAGAAGATATTGTGAAATTACAGGAATATGCTTCATAGGATGAATGCGAAAAGAAAAGAAGCTCTCCCCACATATTAAATTGTACATTTGAAATCTGCCAAAGTCTGCAGGTGGTTCATTGGACCACTGTGAGTGTATTGGAAGGCTGTGGAACCAGGCAGGGGAGTTAAAATTGTACCCATCATATATTTTTGCCTTAGTAGAATGACTTTACCATATGCTGGTATAGAAGCTGAAGGTTTATAGTGGCTTTTAACGTTTTTGAATGTTTTTCTTTTTTCCGTTAGTGTCAAACAAGTGGATTCACGAGCGAGGACAAGAGTTCAGGAGACCCTGCGGCCTCACAGAAGTCGACTGAAGTTTGATGCACATCTAACATACACACACTCCCTCACAAACATACTGACCATTGACCATCTTATTTCTATTTTATTAATTCAACTCTGACACATTCTACAAACCTTACATGAGTGTTCGCTCTCTCAACTTGTCTCCATAATTGACAAATGTTTTATGACACTGGAATGGGAGATATTACCCTTTTTATTTTTTATATTTTTACCAGAAGATGTAGAGTTAGTTCTCACCACCACTCACATGATTAAAGAAGTGAATAAAGGTCAGACTGAAACTTTTTTTTATTGTAGTTCAGAGTAACTATCAAATATAAAAACCACAAAACTGTATCAGTTCAATCTTGGTTTTACAGATGAATGAATATGATGTGATTCTCCAAAATTAAATCCAAATGTGTCCACTGTCAAATCTTCCCATTGATGCCAGAAACTTGTGTATTTTGGCTCTCGTGTCAACAGTTTGTCTCTGAGACTGCTTTCAGAAGTAACTTTTCAAAATAAAAGCATTAGCATTAGTGCTTACAGAGCAGGTTTTTATGATTAATTTCAAATTCAAATGCACATTTGCCAATAGTGAAGACGACATGCTTCTGGTAATGGACTCGTTGGACCCACATCTGGACTCTGTGTTAAATTCACGTGTGGCAAATTACTCCACCACCACCTCTGCTTCATCATTCTATGGTATGTGCCCAATATAATAAAAAAGTTGACGTGAGAAGCAGTCTAAGGAAAACAGCTGCTCTGTATTTCTTATTTCAAACAACAATAACAGATGGAACATCCATCGTTATCAGTCAGACACAAACAGACTCAAGAACTGTGTTTTCATTGCTATTATTTTGTGGTTTAAATGATAAGTGTCATTTTATTTCATCCTTCATTTGCATCCAAAGTGTTCCTCTCTGTCAGTCCTGATAAAAAAAATATATACATACAAAATACATTTTCCTCCAAAATCATGTCCAGGACATTTTAAATTAATATAGTGTTTAAATTATTACACTGTTCTTACATTGTGTGCTTTCTACAAGATGGCTAACAAGCAAGTCAATAAACGGTGTCTTGTATTAAAATGTTTTGTGCTTTCATTCACTATTTTATGTGGTTCGTCATCAAATTGTCCTTTTTATCAGTGTGATTTATCGAAATGTGTCTTTATTTGATTAATTTCCTACATTTTCATATGATTCTGAAGCTCAGTGGCTCTAAACACCCTTATTTTACCCTACAAAATCACCCTACATACCCATCTTTATCATTATAACTTTATCTTAAAGGTCACTTAGAGGTTTTTAGAGTTGTGTGTACCTGCATCAGGCTCATGTGAAGCTATGCTGTTTTAATAGCACTCTACAGGCCACATTGAAAAGTTTAGTTAATTTCTTAATTTCATTACGATTACTAAAAAAGTTTCCAGTTTTAGTAATCTCTACTCCTCGAAGTCGAATTCAACCCTGCTGTGCAGCAATGGCTTTGTGCCAGAGTGGGATGGGAGAGGAACCTTGTAAACCTGTAATGCTGTATCTGCACCTGCATGATCTCATTTCCATACATTTTTTCATGCAAGAACAAACTGAGCAATGTCAGAGAAAGGCTGACAAGTGTGAGAACATTTTCTGTCTCATCTAGGATACAAAATACTCCGAATGGGACTCAGTAGAATGCATACATCCAGCAAGGCCCTTCACTCTCTTTATAAAACCACACTCAAATTCACTAGATTCAGATTTTTATTTGGATCCATTTATAAATATCAGTCCCCTAAAATGTCATCAAGAGCCAGGAATTATTTTCTGAAAAAAATCAATACAAATGCAATGTTAAAAGTAAAAAAAGATTCCTGGATTCGTCCCCTAATCTGCATCTGCACCAAAATTTAATGGGCTCTTTCCTGACCCATACTGCTTCCTTCTGCCAAGTTTCCCTGTAATCCATCCCATAATTTTTGATTAATCTGGCTCACAAACAAACAAATCAAACAACAATTAAACAGATAGATGAGGAAACAAAACCTTCTTTGAGCAGGTAGTGATTTCACATTATCAGGTCTTCAGATGTTGATTATTCCCCTTGTTTCACATTGTAATGTTCACTGGAGTACCGACAGTACGACTTGCTGAACTGCTTTGTCTTTAGTTTTTACTCATTTGAGGGAGAGGAGGATAATAAACATTTATTTATTAACACAACGATAGGTGCTGTGTCGGGATGATGTATCCTTAAACACTGTTCACTGAAAATCTACAAAACTTATGAAGCCCGTGTCAGTTAATGTCAGCTAAAGTCGTCTGAGGTCACGGATTCAATAGAACAGCAACATTTAGAATTCATCTGAAGGGAAACCTGTCATATGGCAACAATTTGGAGACATATACGAAGTCCAAAAATAACATCAGTTTCCCCTTAATCACTTGTGACACAATGTGCACTGTCTTTTATGACCAGGAATTCTCTTTTTTTTTATTGCTACAAGGTGAGGGTTTGCACAGTCACATGAACTCTGGACTTTTTGGGTAGATTTGGAACCTTTTCGAGTGGTCGGGCTATGTAGTTTTTGTCTGACACTTTGATAAAAAAAAAAATGGAATCTGCAAAATCACAACAATAAATCAGAGTCACATTTTCCTTCACATCCATCCAGTGTGTTGACAGTAAACCTCATTTCTAGTATAGTTCTCAGTAAAGGGTGCCTGGAGATAAAAACAAGATGCCAAACAAATTTCAATCTGGAGAGATTTAAAAGAGGAAGAGAGAATGACGAAAGTTCGAAGAAATGTTGCAAACAAGAGGGATAGAAATCGGAGAATAGACAGATTCCCAGTTGGAAGAAAATCACCATGAAGGAGAACTGGTGGTGGTGATAAGAATGTGGGATTTCTAATGAGAGGAAAACTTCTAATCAGAGGGTTTCAATAGAGACGGCCATGAACATTAGTAAAGCTCTGAATATGATTTGATCAATCAAATGCTTATTCAGTCTTTACTCTATCTCCTTACATTATGCCTTAACATCTTTATTCATATGAGTATGAATAAAGATGTTTCTACTTCAAACAAAAAAATTATTTGCTGCTCTTTGCTTTGTTCCAACGTATCTGCCATCGGTCAAACTGAAGGAACATTAACCCGAAACAGATATCCTTTTCAAGTATCCCTCTTATTTCCCAGTTTTGAATATCCAACATCTGTATGAAATGATTTATTATGTAGGTAATGTATCATGACATTAGACATTTTTATGCCGTGGCACGATGCATTATGTTTTCGAATTGTCCTTATCCATCCTTTCGTCCACCACCATCCTGGAGAACGTGATATCTCAGGATAAAATTGTAAGTCATTTAACTCCAGTGAGTCAGAAATGAAGGATTAAATGTATGTGAGAACGAATGTCAGAGGTCAATTGCTTTAGGCTGGAGAGCAATAGCAGCCCTATAAATATGAACATCTGTTGCTGACTGTGGTACAGTTACACCATTGGTGGGTCAGCCAAGTGTTGGGGCAATCCTGAATGGCTGTTGCTCTTTCAAAATGAATTGGTGAACTGTTCCGATGATGTGATCTGGGGGCCTTTATAGGTAGTGTTACCAATTTAACACCTTTGTCGCTATATTTAACAACTTTTCAGATACCTGCAGTTACCAAGCAACAAATCTACAAGCTTTGACATGAGTGAGCTTCTAATTTTGTCTTCTTTTACGACTTAATGTAGCTGAAACCACAGCATATCTGGGATTTGGCTGAATTAAAATTAAAAGTGTGAGCATTGAAGGTAGGAGAGAAGGCAGAATGCAAATTCAACACTGTTTCAGGAATGCACTAATTAGTGTATTACATAATCTGGAGACATTTTACTGACTTTTGGAGCAGGTGTTCGGTTTTAAACATTCATCAAAGATGGTTCAGCCGTTTACCTATTCTGGTTCATTTTACAGCAACAGGAGGAGTGGGACCTGACAGACAAAACCCTACAGATATTTTGGTTATTATTTATTTTATGTTATTATTTCAAGAGATTAATCCACTCTTGGTTTGTCCTAATTGTAATAAGTTTATTCTTTATGGTGTAGGATATACTGTATGAAATATGCATGCAAGTGAAGCTAGGTGCTGAATCCTTAACAGCAGAAATCTAAAAGAATGTGAGCTGGTAACAGTTTGGGGCAAATTGACTTGTTGACCAGCATTAGTTTCCAACATCTGTGCATCATTTCATCATTGGAGCGCAGTCCTGCTCGTTATTTTTACAAACACAAGACTGGAATCTTTTCGCAGAACAACCCAACACTTCTGTGATCCTGGTGGTCATTAATTTATGACTTTGATGCAAATTCTTTGCTTTACGTTTAGAGGCACACAATCACCAGAATGAAAGGTCCATGCCCTCTTATTTAAACATCATTGAATCAAAGTCACATTATCTTACACCCCTTGTTTACTCATATTTTACACACCTGAGGTAGACAAAATACATAACCAAAGGAATTGAAAATCAAAAGACAAGATACCAAGTTCATGTGAAAATTATTTTTTTTATTTTCTTTTATTTATTCTCAACTAGTGGCACATAAAGTGGATTAACATTGTTGTACCCCATCCTATGCTGTAGATTTACAAACATACAGTATTCGTTCAGTCAGTTCTCTTTGCGTCAGTATTGCAGTTAATCTAAACTGCACTGATGCAACAAAAAACACCTCCTGATAAACTCTTGTACAAGAGCACTGATAATTTGACGAACACAATACAACGCAGCATTTTAACAGTACAGTCTGTCACAGAAATAAAATAACAGATGCTGCTGTATCCCTCTGAGGGAATATTTTGGCTATTTGTTGCGTAGAGTAATTCCAAGAGTACAAAATGTAACTCAAGTAATTCCAGAGACTTGTGAAAACATGGTCACATTCCATTATGATTATGAAATATTCTGCACATTTCTCAGTATGTTTATTTCAGGCACAAATCTTTCCTCGTTGGAGTCTCAGAGGTCGGAAAGAAATTAAAACAAATGCTTGGAGCTGTGAGGCCCAAATAGTGGCACATTCATTTGTTTTTTAGATATAGAAAGCAAAAGTTTTAAGTAAGTAACAGTAAGTAAACATTTGCAAAAATGGATGGTAAATACTGAGGTTTGGTTGATTTAGGTGAAAGGGAACTATTGGCAGAAATTTAATGTAGAATAATCCTTATGATGTTTTCATTAGTTAGTTTCATCTAAATCGTATGAATGGTAGTTTTATTTTTTATTTTTTTACTTTATATTTTTTTACACACTGTACCTTTAAAGGTGAAAGTTGAAATTGCATGTTGCAGCTGAACACCCCTCACCTCAACCTCTCCTTCCAAACATGAAAGATGTGGTAGCCTTCAACTGTCAAAAAACTGGTGTTTAGTTTGTCCAGTCTGGACTAATGGACGGCCTCCGTAGACAGGACCCTCCTCCATGTAAATATAAAGTATTTAAATATAAAGGGCCTTTTCTTAGGTAAAGAAAACTACAATTCATACAATTTAGATGAAACAAAAACATAATGAGGATTATTCTACATTAAATTTCTGCCAATAGATCCCTTTCACTTAAATTTTACACACTGCACCTTTAAGAGTGCTTGTCAAGGTATAAGATGTCTACAGTAAATCATTACTGAACATTCTCTTTTTTGGGCTTTCTCGTGTCTAACTCTTATCAGTTTGACGATAACAAGACCAGAGGACCTGCACACTCATTTGCAGAGTAGGATTCACCTAAACAACTTGTTAGTGCTCATTGAATGACTTCTGCAGTGTTAGATAAAGGTTTTAGCTCTGCTGTGTAGACAGCAGTGCTGTTGGTTCCTGGTGCAGGGGGACATTTTTGATTCCAGGGGAGGTCATCCACAGGCTGGCAGAGCAATATGAGCCGCTGAATATAGACCAGAAACAAGAAGTCAAATTACTTGTGCAGACAGGGCAGGGAAATATACTTTTCTATCCAAGTGCCAGAAACAGGTCAACTGGACTTGGTGGAGTTTCTTAAAGATGTTTTTCCTCTCATCCAAGAGGCTTCTTCAGTTCTAACTGGCTGCTGGTAGTCCCAGTCTGGACCCACCCTACTGTTTGGTTTCACTGGGGGTCGTTATGGGTCGATGGGAGTGAAATCAACAGCAATGTGGGTCCTCTAAGGTAACCTCAAGGACTCCTAATGACCCTACAAGTTAAATAGCTGGGACTCCCAGCAGCCAGTTGGCCAGAACTGCACAGTAATATTGTCCTGCTTAAGTTCAAAATCAACAATGACAAGGAATCATGCCCAAGTTCAGTCCATCTGAAGACATGAGTCCGGTTAGCAATGCATAATTCTTAGAGAACATCCCACCAGCACATCTGGTGAGCAGATGTGGATTTATGGAACCAGGAAATGACTGAAAACGAATCACACTGTCTAGATTCATGAATGTGAAGAAACCTATAACCCATGGCCAAGGTGTTATTCAGTGGAGCTCCATACTCCCATTTTAGTAGGTTTCATTTATATTTGGTTGGTTAGTTGGTTTTAATATCACCATACATTAGGAGGACATATAGGAGATTTCTGCAAAACTGTACATCTGGAAAAGGTTCTGCACAAACAGAGAAATGAACAGTCTCCTGTCCCACTATGAACCTAAGATTTGAGCAAAGCAAGAAAAGACTTTCACACAGACCCAAAAGATCCTGTAACAAATCAAAAACATGATTTTCCTTAGCAAAGTGTTAATGCCGCAGGCACCACCCACCCCCCTTTTTTGTAGTATTGTGAGTTATCCTAAGATGTGGCGGGATTGGTTCCAGCTACATGTGTGGTCTGTGTAGCCCTCAAAGCTGCACAAGTATATTTTTATCATCAACAAGTACAAAATGAAAAGTTTGATCAGAGGTTTACTTCACAGTGTTTAAACAATTCAGAGAAATGAGAGGATCGTGCTCACCTGTCGTAGAGTGCCTTTTCCCTGCAGCACTTTCACTAACACAAACAGTGGAATGAGGGAGAGGGAGGCGGTGGCAATGAACCAGCCCAAGATGTTGGCCCACAGTGGATAAACATACGTGTTATTGAACTTCAGCGGGGAGTATTTGACAATAGAGAAGATGAAGGTGCCCTGTGAACGGAAGAGAGAAAGTGGATTAATGTTAAGTTAAATGTTGTGTGTAATTTATAACTGTGACTGTGGGCTGAGGTGGTCCTCTCTTTTCTCTGAGAGGTGGCAAGAAACATTTTGGAAACAAGACAATCAAATGACAAAGGACTCACAAAACAGGTGATGGGAGTAATGTAGCACCAGCAGTATTTCATTAATGGGTATGGACGATAACCAATCATGTCTGTGATGTTGTTATAGAAACGATCAGCACCTTGAGGTAAAAGAGAAGATCAGAGAAAGGTCAATGTCACCTTTGAGATTAAATCTATCACCACAGCAAACCTCCATACAGGTGTCGTGACCCCATTAAAAACACTTTTAACCTTTTTCTCATAACGTGAAGGATCTAGTCTTTACTACAGTAGGTTAGTTGTATTGTGTGTGTGTGTGACTTACCATAGACCCAGCCGATGCTGACAGACTGAAAAAGGGAGAGGAGGATCAGCGTGGTGCCACTGCAGACATGATGATCCAACAGCTGGAGCAGGTACATCCCTCCCTAAAAACAAGGGCAGCGATAACAACCTTTATCAGTATAAACCAATCAACAAATATTAAGAGCTACATCAACCAAATTACCATCAACAAAAGGATCCCTCGCAAATCTTCTGGAAAATCAATCATTAAAAGCAAGCAATTATCCTGTGACCTACATTTCAATTCAAAAAGTCGTATCCAGCAGCGGATTCACCTACATTTCCACTACTTGTGGTGATTTTATATTATTGTAAAATGTGAGTGGAAATCTCTATGTGAGATGGAGCTTTTTTTGACAGCTCTGCAACTCGTCTTTTTGTTGATGTATCTAATTGTGGTCTATGGCTACTGGTGAAGATTATTATTGATCAAAATATTATCAGAAATCTGGTCAGACAGACTCTGTAGGGTTTGGCATTTTTCTTGCTTGCTCTCTCGCAGAGTAATAGGTCGTTCTTTATTTGAAACCTGGCTGAAGGCTCGCCAGTACTGTGAATATAGTATTCATTGTGTTTGGTTGAAAACCTGAGGTCCAAGAACTAACCTCAGTGAACAAAAAGACCAAGAATTATCGCACTGCGGTTGTATGCCTCTGCCAACCACTGCAGTTTCTGTTTACATATTTCTACATACTTTTTCCCAGATTGATATGGGTCACTGTGACCTTCGACCACTGGAACTTGCTCTAGCAGCCAAGGGGAGAGTGAGCAAGGGGCTCTATGTTTTCTTTTGCCTTTGTTTTCATTTGTCTACTTTTATAATGATAAAAACAATAAAAGTAAAACGATAAACTTGATTTCTATAGCACCTGTCATACAATAGTGTTGAATAAAGTGCTTTACATCCAATAAAGATAAGAAAAAAGAAAAAACATGTTATAAATGTAATTTATATAAAAGAAAAGATTTTAAGTAACATAAAAACATGTTAAAAGAAAATTTAAAAGAAAAGGAAAATAAAAAGGCAACCAGTGCAAAGCAGCTAGAACTGGTCCAATGTGTCCTCTCCTCTTGGTTCTTGCTAACAGCTGAGCTGCAGAGTTCTGAGTGAGCTGGAGTTTCCCTATTGTTTTTTTTGGGAAGCGTGTAAATAGTCCATTACAGTAATGTAGTCGGCTAGAAATGAAGGCAGGAATCAGATTTTTAGTATCTGTCTGATTTATAAATGGCTGAACCTTTCCAATGTTTTTATGGTGGAAAAAATAGGTTATTATCGGCCAGAGTCTATGATAACACCTAGACTCGTCCCTTCTGATCCAAGGAGTCAGATGAGTCAGATTACTTTTCAGTGTTTATCTTTTTGATTTTGGGCCAACTAAAAGGATTAGTTATACCTCTGATTGAGGTGACTTTCTTTTTGAAGAAAAGGGCTGCCAGTGAGTTCCCAGCATTCTCTGTAATAATCTTGGAAAGGTAATCCTGGTTTAATAGAGCAACAGAATTTAAGGCAGACAGGGGGGTGTTACTGAAATGTTCATGACTGTATGGTTAAGTTGATTTCCTTATATTACAGAGCTTAAGGACTTTTAACTTAAGAACTTTTCAACCAGAATTTCAACTTTTGTATAAAATATACAATGATGACCAGAGATAGTTCACATACTGAACAATTCTCCATGTTTAACACTCTTGCATACCAACTGTGTGGAATAGATCTCTGCGACCTCTCCTCAATTCTGTTTTATCGCACTGACTGATAAAACTTTAACGAGGACAGGTCGCTGTCATCATTGTTGCTACACCATGTTGTTCAGCCATGCTTCAACCAAGAACATACAGCCCAAATGATTATAATTTAACTGTTGACTGGAGTGATTTGTCAGACGAAGATCTGACATTAAGAAGAGCTAACTTCAGCTGTCGTGATTTTATGCCTCTTTGCTGATTTTCTCTTCTTCGCCCTCTGTACTTCTAACCAGTTTCTAAAGCAAATAAATTGCTCTGTAAATGCTATGGCACAAAACACTAGGGAAGGGTTATGTAAGGGTTTGGACTGTATTACACTGACCTCTGTTACCAGTAAGAGTCCCAGCAGACAGCAGGAAGTGCAGATAGCCAGCAAAAGCAGCTCACGCCTACAACCCTGGCGCAGGTGAGCTGGGAACAGATCAACTAGTGATGTCATCAAACACTCCAGCCCAACAAACTGGAGGGAGTCAACGAGAGGAGAGAGTCAGAGCTTAGTGTATTCATTCATTCATTTAATCAGTCATTTAACTATTGTTTCAATCATTCACATGGGGTTTCGCCAGTACCTGACTATCCAGTCCGAGCAGAATAATCATGACGAAGAAACACACTGACCACACCTGAGGCATGGGCATCATGGCGATTGCACGTGGGAAGACAATGAAAGCCAACCCTGGTCCTACACACACACACACGCAACCAAACACAACAAATAAATTAAACACGATGGACAACAGTGTAAACATACAAAACAACTTGATGAAGTTAGCAAATGGAGGAAGGATTCCCATTCAATTTTAAATGATTTTAAGTATTTTTATAATCAAATTATTGCTGCATGGGGAAAAACAAGTAAAACACAAGGACTGACAGAAAACACTAATAACTAGAGGCAGATTGTACACAATAAAACTGGAAATGAATCCCACACTTGAAATGTCTTAAATTCTCACTTTCATGAAATGTGAACTAGTGCTAAAGATGCAAACATAACGCAATGTGTCCATGCTCAGCAGCATAGTTTAGCATGTTAGTATAGGTAACATTAGCACAAAACAACAACAAATGGTCTGCTAAATTAAAAGTGAGAGGATTTTTTAAATGATGGTGGTTCATCCTGAGGGAACCATGAATGTGTGCCCCAAAGCAACAAGTGGGAATTGTTGAGACATTTTTCTCAAAACTCAAAATTTCCATCAGGGCAACGATGTACAAAAATTCATGAAACAAAAAAGTCCAACAGTTTCTGACTTATTTAAGTTTGGACTAAAGTGGTGGACTGGCCAACAGACCAGCATTACATGGTTCCATTTGCCACAAGTTAAAATATCAAGGTGGGGAAAAAATAAACCCATGGCGTAAGGAGTTTTAAGTCTACCAGAAAAATACGACTTTACCAAAAGCCAGACAGGAAATGTACAATTGTCAACCACTTAACTGATTCGGTACCTACCAGATTCTGCCACCTCCGAAATATCCACTCCTTGTTCATTTGTCATAAAACCCAAAACAGAAAAGACGGCAAAGCCTGCCACGATGCTGGTGACACTGTTCAGCAGACACAAGTAGAAACAGTCCCTGAAAGAAAAGTGAATCCAGTTCTAGAAATGTGTATGCAACTGTGGAGTGGATGCATGGATTGAAAGTGTTAATTTTACAAGCCAACAAAAGGATCTCTTCTTTCCCCATTAAATGATTGATCTTGTTTAATGTCAACATCAGACTCTATTTCTTGGCTTTGTTGCATCAAATATAATTTGAAAAGAAATAAAATTGCCCACGAAAGATACTTTTATTTCCTCAAAATGATTTAAATGATTCAGGGGAACATTTCATTCACAGCAGGGTAGTGTAGATGTGTATTAGTATTCCTCTTACCTGTAACAGTCATTGTTGTAAGTGTTGTAACTCCCAAGAGAGGTCAGGAACCCAAGGCCGATGGCATAAGAAAAAAGGATCTGAGTGCCAGCATCCATCCACACCTGAAGAGAGCAAACAAATGTGTGTGTGCCTCTGAGAAATCAACATACCGGTAATCGTATCGGACGATAGATTGTTGGATCTGTTCTTACCTGGGGGTCTGAAAGGCGAGAGATGTCAGGGTAGAGGTAGTAAATGATTCCATCCATTGCCCCAGGTAGAGTAACTCCGCGTACCAGCAAAACAAACAGCATTAAGAAGGGAAAGGTGGCTGTGAAGTAGGCTGCCTGAAAGAAAAGAGCATCACTATCTGATTAAGTTGTTCATAAAAGATTGCTTTACAGAAGCCAAAATGATTTCCTCAAATGTTGTGAATATGGGCTATACAGATATAATTTGATTGATTGAATGAAAAGACCCAGAAGACAGAAGTAAAACGGTGGTGCTTTTCATCAGGTTCATCTTTTCATCACCCACTTTGAGGGTATCAAAAAGTGCAAAACTCTTCATTCATCCCAAAATGTGTTGTGATGGAAAGATTATGTGAGCCACTTGTAAACATCTGAAAGACTATTTTCATCTCAATCGTGTAGTTATTGCCAATACAACAAAAGCTACTGTAACTTAAAATGAACACACAGAACACCCCATAATAAACAGGAGCTATTTGTGTGAAAGACAAAGATCGATCATGTGATCACTTTGACAACTTTAACAGCCTGATAAAGGTGCATTTTTGCTCACATTCAGCCAAGAGGAGCAAGTTTCTAACACAATTCTTCTATCTGTAAACACACATGAACATGAGATACTTCAGAGGACATTCTATCATACTTGGATGTAAACAAGGTCAGAGGTAGAAGTAGAGTTGCATGTTTAACATAACGACTATAGAGCTGAAACAATAACTCCAGTAACTCCAGTAACTTGATTACAAACAATTATCTATTTAAATTGTTTGCACCAGAGCTTCATTTAATCTCTATAGTGGACGACTCAGTGATCACCGTGTTTCGTTCGTCCTGTTGTGGTGCACTGTCTCAATTGTCTTGACTGCGACGCCTAGTCTCAGTCTAATTTGAATTGTTTCACACTTCTAACCTGAGACCTCACAGTCTTCAGTCAGAAGTGAAGAATATCTGGATGAGAGGTAAAATATCAAGAAAGACATTGCCTGTGTCCAACTTTGCAACTCCTGAACATACAGTACTTGGGGTATTTTGTCTTGAATGTTGTTTCGTGTTTGAGCAGCGAACCTTTCCTGTGGACTTGATGCCCTTCCAAACGCAGAAGTAGCAGATGACCCATGTCAGGATGAGACACAAGACCAGTTCCCACCTCAGGCTGCCCACTTCCTCGATTCCATTGGAGAGTTTCAAAACTCGCCGCCTGGGGAGAAAAGGGGTCCGATGATGGAGATGAGAGGGAGAACAAAAAAAACTGACAAGTAAAAGGGAGGGGACGGAGGTTAATTATAATGGAAAGTAGGTGAAACTGGATTTCCGTGTGAAAGGGTGGAAAAGGAGAGAATCAAGGCAGGTAAGAAAATAAAAACTTGGGTGGGAAATGAGGGGAAGGAACAGATGATGAGGTGAGAATCAAAGAAGGAATATAAAAAAGAATTCAGTTCAACTTGTTGAAGGAGTTGACTACGTGCTTACTGCCAGAACTCCACAACAGGAAGAGTGCTGTTCTCTTTGGCCATCATGCTGAGGCTCAGGTTTTGATGGTTAAAGTCCAAGCACGAGTCTAATTTGACAGAAAAGAGAGAAAACACTGGGAATGTAAAAACGCCCATTTATAAAGAAACATTTTTCAAATTCCATATCATAAAAAAATATGAAACATGCCCTTTCTCTGAGATAATAAGATGAAAATTGTTTTGTTAATGTGTTTATCAAGTTTTTAAGAGTCTATAAAGGAGGCTATAAAATCACAGACTTGTACAGTTCAGGGAAACTCTTCCTGCTTAATTTTAGGCGATGTTATCAACAATAACTCACACCTATACAAGTGTCGAGATCCCTCTGTTACCTGTGTTCCAGTAGTGTCCACATGAAGCCCAGGGTAAATCCTGGCTGAATGATAAGAAGAGGTAAAAGAACGCCCACGCCATGATGATGATGTAGGAGGTTGCGCTAAATGCGATGATTAAGTGACTGGCAAAGCCCATGCCTGAGGAAAGAGAGAAATCTGGTGACTCAGAGATTTATCATCTGTTGAATGAAGAGTGATTAATGCGCAGACCCAAGTTCCAAACCAAACGATGCTGCAGTCAAAATGCCAGATGCTGCGTTTACGCACGCTGTCCAGTGTGAAGAAACCACACATTTGATGTATTCAATGCAGTATCATTATGATTTACAAAGTGAACAACAAGGGGAAAAAATAATCGCTCTTTATTTACCCTGAAAAAGTGGACAAATCTTTTTCCAGCACGTGATTCCCCCCTGGTTGGTGTATTGTCCTAAGGCAGTCTCAAGGAAGAAAAGTGGGATACCGCATGTGAACATAAACAAGACGTATGGGATGAAGAATACACCTGCAAGACAGAGAAGATCTTCATTTGTTTGGATAGAACATTTGAATTCGGTTGTAGTTTTCCATTTCAGTTAATTCGCACTTGACAAATGAGCGAAAAAGTTGCTGCGTAAAAACACCCACCTCCGCCGTTTCTGTAGCACAGGTAAGGAAACCTCCACACGTTCCCAGGTCCGATGATCGCGCCCATCACAGTCAGGATGAACTCAGCCTTGGATCCCCAGTATCCCCGTCCCTCCAGCTCTTTGGGTCTCTGTGCGTATCCGTTTGGCACAGCAGCGGCGTACGCGCCATGTCCATTCTTTCCGTTCTTCGTCATCGCTCGTTACAGTTTCCCAAAGGCGCTGTGCTGCTTGGGCTTATTTCTGTGCGCAATCATGCAAATGGAAATGTGCAAAGTCTCGACGTGACAGCGGCTCTTATATAGTCACTGTCTCTCCCTCTGCCTCCTCCGTGGGGCCACTTCCGGTGAAAACTCCGCACCCAGACAAGACCAGGACAGAATACAACAAGCAGATGTTTAAGTTCTTCTCATTTTATTTACTATCGCCACGCAAAATGAATGACATTTCCAAAACAAGGTCTGGATCCTATATGACGGCGCTTTTTGATGGTGAGATTGTCACTGATTAGCATGAGTAATTGTCCCCCGGGAGTCTGAAGATGTCTCCCACAGCCTCCCCTTATATCTTCCTCTGCTTGCTTACATCTTAATGGTGCAAAGATATAATGTATTATACACTATATATACATAATACATTATATAGTGGCATTTGCAGTGTGTGAGGATATACCAACATTCCTCAACACTCAGGGGACCCGTTTTTGCTTGAAAAGGCCCACATTTAATTTTAATGCTGGCAAACATGGTCTTGATTATATATCTGAAATGAAATTATTATTTTTTGAAAAGGAATGGCAATTTTACCAATTTCTCTGTAAACAGAAAACAAACTTTTTGCTGCCTGAGTTGGTCATTCAACTTCATTTGTTCCATTTAGGATAAATGTCCTGTCGCAATCATTTATAAACCCTTGACTGACCAAGCTGCACCAAATTGCACATACTCTCCCGAAATTTGTGTTTTATTTTTCGTTTTAATCATGCTGGGACTTGCTATTTGTGAACAATAGTTGGGCAAAAACCCAACTATTGGCCCCGTGACCCGATAGCCAAATGTATCGAATGCCCAAAGGCACACCATTTAATGGTGCCACGCTTAAGGTAGTATAACCCCGACAGGTAACCATCTTTGCCACTCTTTAGCTCCATTGACTCACCACTGCCCTCTAGGTCAAACTGCAGTAATTGTTAGATACAGTGCCATTGACAGTCAGTGGCCAGACTGTGCACAGCAGGTTGTCGTCACATTGCAGGAACATGTCTTGATTCAGCTTGTTCCCTTTAACACTTGACCCTAAAGAAAAAAGGCTGTCTTTAAATGAGTCCCCCGACGGCCCCCTGTGTGAGCGGCCCTGCACAGTGAGCTGGAGGCGGACTGCGGTGCTGAGACCAGTGAGCTCATCCTGGCTGCACGGGGAGGAGGGCGGGGCTCCAGCATCATCACCACCGGCCATCGCTGCTTCATTGTGGGGTTGATGCTGCGAACAGAGCCGGAGGGGAGCGAGAGATCAGAAATAACAGGAGAATGCCATGGACACGACTTCACACCTATTAAGACGCGACGCACGACGGGACTAGATGACGAGGTAAGGCGCGGAGATGTGGTTCACACCGTGCGAGCCGGGGATGACTAGCGGGCCTGCAGGTTTGAGTCCCCGGCTCGGCAGCGGTGACATGCATCGATACTCGTTTCTAATTCCGCCGCCGCTTTGACGCCAAACCCCAACACCGAAGCAATAACAAGCACCGTCGTGTATTTTAACGTAAAACCGGGAATCGAGTCCACATTGGGCCGTGTAGCATCGGTGTAGCCTGCATGACGGAAGTGGTCGAGCTCGGCCTACACGGGCCAGCCCCCCCTCAGATATGAAGGTCCAGCCCCGGGGATGCTCATCGTCTTGCAGGGGCCTCACACACACACCTACACACGAAGCATGTTCACAATGCATCGAGCATCATGCATCTGTGTGTGTGTGTGTGTGTGTGTGTGTGTGGTTTACATCACATACTTGTTGTTGCAGTGGAGCCTCCAGCTGTTGATGCTTCAGGTGAATCCAGATGTGCACCGTCTATGTGCGTTTTTTTCTGCCTGACAGCCCATCACACCTTGGTGGCTGTGTTTCTGGCAGGATGCTGCAGTGATGTTGTGAAGAGGATGCTGTGGTTGACGGAGGCCTCTGCTCAGCCTGCTCCTGCCTCAGGGTGTCACACTGGCCTGGTTTAACACACATCACCCCTGCTGGGAAGGCATTTGTCACCCTGTTGTTTTAGGGTCAGCGCAGATGGAGGCTACAGTGACGGCCCACAAGTTAATAGTTTATAGATTGCTCTTGCAGTCACAGGTTTCATCCAATAATACTCATCAATAGGGCAAAAAGTAATTATATTATATATTGGATCAATGATTTGCAGTTTGTCACTTCTGTACCTGCTATCAAGTCATTTTACTTTGCTGCATGTTCATTTCCTCTTTATATTCCCCATCATGTCTAACTGCTCATATCATCATTGGCCAATGTCATTCTTAAGCTGTTGTGTGAAGCAGCACGTTGAATTTCAGCTGCACTGCAAAGCAATTTGCGGCTTAAGAACTGACTTTCAACGGAAGTCAAAACTGTAATTTTATAAAGCAATTAATATTTGTATATTACACATTACATCAGCAGTGGTGACGTGTGAACATCTTGAACCAGAAGATCCATGTAGATTTGTTGGATGACACTGACATATTGAATTGTCATGTACATAGGCTATAGCTCTCTCTCTATATATATATCTATATATATATATCTATCTATATATAGATAGATAGATATATATTTATGCATGTGTGTAGTTTAAGATTGTATAATTTAGTTGAAAAACACTGTGCAAATGAATAATTTGAAACATGAAAACCTTGCAGCAGATGTGTAGCCAATGCTCGTTCCTGAAGTATCGCCCACATTAGTAAATCTCTTAATACAGAGGGTTTGGTGTTTTGACCTGAAATAGAAAGTAATCCAAAAAACATGCAGGAGAGTGCTGCTGGACTCCAGCGACACTTTGAGCCAACTTACATCACAACCGCATCCCAGACTGATTAAACTTAAGTTGCTCTCGCACATTAGCATCAACGCTGGCATCGATATGACTCACTTTGGCTGACTCGATTGCATAACCTGGATTTGGAAGAGGACAACAAATGGTCCTGAACTGTAAGATTTAGTTTGCAAAAAAAAAGGACCACACCAAACAAATACAAATTGTCATAAGTGCCCATTGGTTAGATAGTAGGAATGCCTCATGTAGAGTCCTGAAAAAACATTTGGTTCATTAATTTTATGTAATATCTTTGTGACTCAATGTTTTTACGTAATGTTCAATTGCTCGAGTCACAACCAGATTACAGATTGTGATTCTTGGCATGCAGTTCTAATTCCATTTGGAGTAACATAAAGCTGGTTTATCAGAGCTGGGGGACTCTGATACATTAATCTCAACGTGCTATCAATGTGTTTTAACATTAGTGTATTTTTACTTCATCAATATATTCCTTATCATGTCAAGTGTAAGTTTGTTTTCTGCCATACTCTGCAGCAATTTATGGTTTTAAAACCGACTTTTAATGAAGATCAAAATGATAATTTGTTGACATAATTTATACTATATATCATTAAATCTTGGCAGCAATATAGAATTGTAGGGTTTTATTAACCACTAAATTTATCAGTCAAAAACATTTTTTTGTATCCTTAGCAATTCAAAGGAAGGCATGACAGCTGACCCAAGTGCAGCTCCTTGACTCCAGAGAGTGAATTTCACATCATGAGTCCTGTACTTGTCTTTAGCCAACAAAGGGGTTAAGAGTAGAAACAAATGAGTCGGTGTCTGAAAAAAGATTCAGAAATCCAAATGTGAATCAGACAAAGCCTATTTAATTTCTTGATTATTTTCCTGACCCAAGGCAAAATGTGGCTTGTGCAGTGGTTTCACTGGGTAGTGAGCAACAAAATCTGACAGGCAGCAACACAGCTGACGGTTCTTTTTCCATTCTGGCAGATTCTCTGGAAGACCCAGTGCCAACACCAAAACACATTATTGTCTTAGAGTCAAAAGTGGGTCATGGTGCCAGCGTAGTTCATCTTGTAGTATTTAACACACGCTTACTAAACAAACACTGTGATACACGCACACTCAACACAGTCACAGTCAGGGCACAGTGAGAAAATGGGCCACTCTGCTCGCCGGTGTCTGTCTGATTTATATCTCCCTCTTTTCTGAATCTGCTCAGTCTGCTGAGCCAGACACAGTCATGTTGTGTGCAGACATCTCCAGCTAACTCGGTTTGCTACACCAAACACCGTGTGGTACATTACAGAGAAGCACATTAATAGCAGTCCTGTAAAAGATGGGCAACAAGATTTGCAGAAAAGATCCACAAAGCACACAATGTCTATCAAAACAGTACAAAAGACTAATTTATCCGGCCTTTTAAACTTTGTTTAAACATTATAGAGGAGATGACATTTCAAATCTAGTAGCTACATCTTTAGATTTAGATTTTAATTGCATCCGGTGAGGAGGTTATGCTTTCATTGCTGTTTGTCCATCGGCAGGATTGCTATAAAACAACCTAACCAACTTCCATGGATGGTTTAGGCATTACCAAAGGAAGAACCCGTCAACTTTTGTGTGTCCCTTCTAGTTCAAAGAGTGACAGTGTGATGGAGGCATGACCTGCTTGATAGTTTTCAGAGGAGCACAGGAAAAAAGATTCAGCAAGATCCAGTTCTTTAAACCCTTTCTGGCTTGGCAGAGCAATGTCATTAACTTGGCTGAGATTTCTTGGGAGTCCATATAAATAAAATGCTCCTCAGTTTTTTCAGTTGGTTTCTTGTCAGAGATTTGTTCTCTGCTGCGGAGCTGGGCGTCACACGGTGTGTTTTTGAAAGCTACAAGGAGCGATGAGTGAGGTATGGTACTCCAACTTGATTCTTCTTTTGTAACTATGTTGACTGAAAGATTTTGTTTTTGGGTCTATGCTCTATGGTGGTTGTTGTTGAAGGAGTTTAACTAAGTCTGTCGTCGTGATTATGTTACTGTTTCTAAAATTTGCTTTATGTGATCAGTATACCTAATTCACACTGTCATAACCCACAGTTGATTGAAATCATTTCCCAAGGTTGATTAGGAGTTCTCTGTTATTGCCATCATTGAATATACATTGAATTCTGTACATTGTATGGGGATTTTCTTACTTTAATCCAAAGCAGTGCAACCTCTACACCAAAAGCAGTAAGCTTTAGTTGCTTCTTCCAAGGACGTTAAGT